GCTCGGGACCACCTGCTCCCAGGGGACCTGAAGCTGCAGCTCACCAGTTCCAGCTCTCATCTGACGCCCGCCCCCAGAATGAGCTGTGGCTATCAAGTAACTCTCCCCAAATGGACCTTTCAGGGCTCAGGGAAGTGACTTTTTTTTATTATATGGCACAGTTTGGCACAGTTATGTCTTTAGTCTTTGGGGTACTTTTATACTGTCCAAGAGTAGAATATCTTTCTTTTCTTTTCTTTTTTTTTTTTTTTAAAAACAGATTGCCAAACCAGGACATATACTAAAAAAAAAAAAAAGGAAGGTTACTTACCTGAGCCCTAACATCCCAGCTACCATGGAATCCTGTTGGAGCTGGTCTACAGAAGCAAGGTGTATTCTGGGGAGTCACATGTCACATCAAAGCAGGAACTGGTGAGTCTGTACTTTTATGGAGCCTAAAACAAAGAAAATTGTAAGTTGAAAGCCCCCATTGAGCTGCATGACCTTTTTCCCAGGGCTATTTGGGACATTTTGAAGATAAACACATAGACAAAGCACTGTTATTTCCCAGCTCACCTAGCTAGAAACAAAGGATAAACTGCAAATTACTGGCACATAATATGCAGTGCTAAAATAAAGACTCGTGCTGGCTCACATGGACACTATCACAGGTCTTGGCACCTCTGGGGGGACACTTTGACACTACAAAGCATACCATGAGTGGTGATTTCTGGCAAGTTGTACTTCTTCCACCATGTCATACAGAAGCACTGAAGGAAAGAATAAGCATTCGAGATAACACACAACATCAAAATGCCATCCCAAAAGAACACACACAATACAGAGGCAAGCAGCTGAAGTTACGAAGGGCTTGCTGCAATATCACACAGGGGGCTTTAGCCCTGCGAGAAACAAAGCACCCAGGGAGACGCAGTGCCATCATCCAAAATACACACACACACACAGCTATTTCAGGGCGGTCACAGCTAAGCTTCGCAGAGCAGCAAATCCCACGGCCAACCAGATCAGTTGGTAGTTTGATCATTTTCTCTTGTTTTTCAACACATGTTCAAAAGGATTTTTGTCATTAAGATATTGTTTCCTTGTTAAACTTAAATTGTTTCATAGTAGCTAATCTCTGATACCTTGCTGGCCCAACAGCAGCACTTTCAGCTTCAGACTAAAAACAAAAGTGTAGAGTGTATACCTTAGGAACTACTGGCACATGCTATTTAACCTAGGAAGGCGGGCCCAGCTGTTTCCTTTAGGACTAGGCAACAGCTGTCTGGATGGTACCTTGAATTATCTGTTGAGGTTCAGTGAAGCCTCCTAATTCTCCTAATACCCTTAAACAAAGAACCCAACCATAGAATGCTTCACAATCCCAGCCGTTAATGATATTTCTTGGTTATCTACACAGTAGAGTAAAAATGTCACCAGCAGTCTGGCTAGAAAGCCCGGGAAAAGTTGCATTTTCTCAAGGCCACTACTTATTTTATTTGTAAACTGAGGGAGATGGACTAAGGTTCCTTCCATCTCTGAAAGTTTGAGATTAATTAACTCAAGATTTCATGGGGTTGGGGGAGTCAGAGAATGAGTAGTTAGGCAGAAGCCCAAATCTATTTAGCAGCCCCAGTTCTTAGGCAAGGAGACAAGCATCTCCTTCCTGAGGCTTGGTCCTGTCAGACAGCTGCAGCAGCTGCAGCACAGCTGCACACGACGCTGAGCACATATCCACAGAGCAGCAGACCCAGCAGTGTGCGTGCAGCTCTCGAGAGAGAAAAGGACGAGGTCTTATTCTCTACTAGAGCCCTTGCACCTGCCCCTGGTATGGGACAGGGTGGGGCTGCTGCCTGCCCCCAAGCCCTGCTCGCTCGCAGCTGGCCCCCACACCACACCTTTGTCATAGTGGTGGGACCAGGTAGCCGAGCCACGACATGTGGGTCAAGTTCTCGAACCTGAAGAGGGTGCCACTAACACGGGGCCTCCAAGGCTGGCTGGAGAGCTGAGGACAGGTCCTTTTGCTTCACGTAGCATGAAGACTGTGTCCACCTGGCCCACATGGGGACGCTGGGGCAGAAGGCGGGAAAAACAAGCAGGTGTTCTGTTCTACACATATTTCAGAACATGCCAGGCCAAGACTGCTCTACCCTCATGTGCGACGACAGTATCAAACATTTTCTCCCCAGAGAGAACTCAGCGGCCGGGGGGGGGTCTGTTATTGTCCAATGAAGAGATTCCTACTGATGGTCACCTTTATAAAGGACTGTGCATTTCAGGGCATATCGCTTTTTATGCAAAGAGCCTGGTAGCAGGAGAACTCTGGAGAACAAGTCTGCCTCTGCTGTTTTTTATTGTAGGTTCAAGAAACACGCTCCTAGACAACCTCCACACAGAAGACGGTGTCTCGGGTGGGCACAACTCTTACTAGACTCAAACCCTACAGCCTGCCCCTGCCCCATTAGATTAGGTCCCACACGGGAAAGGAGGCAGGGGAAATAGCTCTGGCAAGGTACAAACATAAACACAACGCACAGTTGTAGCGCAGCCCTCCACATCACTGGGGTCTGTGCCCTCCCCAGACCTCTCTCAGGGTTCAAAAAACATGAGCGGAGTACAGAAGATTGTGTGGAGCTTCCTTACCAAGTGAAACAAAGAGGTGGCATTCTTTTTGTTGTTGTTTTGTGCTGGGAATCAAACTCAAGACCTTGAGCTTGCCAGGCAGGAGCTGTGCCACTGAGCTATATCCCCAGCACAAAGACCTGGTATTCTCTGTGTAAAGCACTCAGGGCCAAATTTTAATAACAGGAAATAGGATAGGGTGACAGGCCATTACCAGAAGGAAAACCATACATGGTTTCTTCCAGCTGTGGGGACATGCTGGCTTTAGATGCCACTGAGGTCAGCCACAGGCCCTATGAGAAGAGCTTGTACTCTGGAAGCTGCCCGCACAGATTCAAGGGGACCTGGAGGACCGCGTCTGGAACAAAGCAGAGACCTCTATTCATCCCGCACCTGGCTCAGATGTGCAAATCCGGGAACCACAGCTGGTGGCCAGCGCATGTGTACACATGTGAACGCATCCTAGTGACCGCCACCCGGCTGACCTGCCACCAAGTGATCCATGTCAACTTAGTTTAGTTGAATCAACTGTTCTCCCACAAGATTGATTGTGGTCTTTCAGGTTCTGATGTAACCAGTTAAGAAAATAAAAGCAAGACTTTCCTAAGCTCCCTTACTGGGACTTGAAGTAGAAATCCTGAAAAGCCCATAACTAAGCCCATTTCCCTAACTGCCTGGTGGAAATTCCCCAAAGACCTAAGAACCCCAAACCTGTCTTTCTACAAGGACCCAGCATATTTCAAAGGACCCAAGAAGTCAGTTTAATTTTGCTGTTAAATGAAATTGCTGAGATCCAGATGAAAATTTCAGCCACAAAACTTAAAACTGTCCGCTGGAGTAGTAATTGCTTATTAGTGTAACTTTATTACCCAAGCTTGAATATGCTTTGTTTTTATAGTATAACAAAACACTGAAAACTTGTGACAGTCAACATCTCAACCACTTAGCATTACATACCAGGACATTTGGTGCCACAGCCACCAACCACCCCCTGAATTTGGTCTTGTCACATCAGACTTTAGGACAATGATCTTGAACATCAGGAGAACAACATGCAAACAGCTCAGCAGAGCTCATTTGTGTTCTTGGAAAAATAAGCAGAAGCACACATCTGCCTGACCATGAGTCAGGAATATCAATTTCGTGATAGGGCCCTTTTCTGCCATAACCAACGCACACCCAAGCACGCTCACAACAGAAATCGCAGCACAGAGGTATTCCGCCCGCAAACTGTTCCCCCCCCCCCCCCCGGGGGGGAACGGAGAATTCAGCAAGGCCGGGAAGGGTCTCCCGGGTGAGAGCAACCTTTTCAGACTTTTCACAGTGACCTTAAGGCTTTACGGCAAAGCCACAGAAACACTGCCACGGCTAGGTAAAAGTAACCTGAGTTTTAGTTTGGGTGATTCAGTCATAACCAAAGTAAAGAGAATAAACTTTCAGAGCTAACTGACAGCAGTCACAGCGATGCGATGAGTTCGCCCCTTCTGCTGGCGGTGATCCTCAGTGCTCCAGGACGATTAAAGCCCGTCACATACTATGTCCCACTGCACTTATGTAACTGGAAGATCGCCGGCGGGGGGGGGGGGAGGATGGGAGGGCGCTCGGATTCCAAAGGCATGGCACCCCAAGAACCTCTGCGCACCAGGGGGCACGCTCTCCACTGGCAGTCTCAGGTGCCGCTGGACGCACTGTCCCCAGCCCTCAGATCCTGATGGGAGCAGAACCAGCTGTATAGGATGAGCTGTGGGACCCAGGCACACGACGTCTGCTCCTTTTGGCGAAGGGGGGGAACAGTCACCCCCAGCAACCGGCTCCAACTATCCGGGGGAAGGAGCTGGCAGACTGGCCGGCTCACAGCGGGGGCAGAAAGTCATGGAACGGGTGAGAAGGGGGAGGCAGAGCTGGGAGATGGGGGTGAGCACGCAGGAGCCCTTGTGGCGCACTCTCCGGATGGGAGGCAGACTGCGCACGCGCGCCGGTGGGGGGGCCGAGTAACGGGAGAGGGGGCGCGCGAGGGAGGGAGCGGGGAGAGCGCGATCCAGAGAGAGGCCGGGGCCGCGGGCGCGCGACGGCGCCGCGGCCTGAAGCCCCAAGAAGGACAGGAGCGCGCGCAACCCGCCCGGCGAAGCCCAGGCGACGGGGGCACCCGCGGGGCCGGTGCTAGGATGCGCGCAGAGCAGGCGGCGCCGGTGGCGACCGCGAGGACGACGTTCACCTGCGAGTGCGGGTGACGGGCCGAGGGGACAGCCGCCACCGGAGGGAGGGGGAGGGTAGAGAGGAGGGACGCCATCCGCCAGCCTTGTCGCCCGACCCCGCGGGCCCCTCCCGCGCCACGTCCCGCCCCTGTCCCCCGCCCCCCGGCAAGGGTCCCCGCCCGCAGCCGCGGCGGTCCCACTCACAGTCTCTCCTCCTCGCCTCCTCCTCCTCCTCCGCTCGGCGCGGCGGCGGCGGCGGCGGCCATTTTCCGGACGGCTTTTACCACAGCCCTCTCTCCGAGAGGAGGGAGCGCGCGCGCCGCCGACGCCGGGACCCCGCACGGCCGACGTCGCGCCCCGCCCTCTCGGCCAGCCTGCGCGTTGCTGCACCTGCGCACCCGCGCCCCGCCTTCGGCGCTGCCGCCAGCCTGCCCTCCATTGGCTGTCGCGGCCGGGCAGGGCCGGGGTCTCGGCGGAGGCTCCCTTCATTGGCGAAAGTTCCTGTCTGTTTGGACGAGAGGAAAGGGGGCGGACCCCTGTCCAGCAGCCGATTGGTTGCCGTCAGCCGTCATTTGGGGACCAGAGGCGGTTTGGGCATCTAGAAGTTGGTTTGGTGGGCGGAATTTGAATGTTAAGGATTGATGGCCCCTCGCGGGCGATAGGAAGGCGGAGGCCTCAACTCAGGACGTCTGTGTGCACAGCCTGCCAAGCGGCCGATCTGCTATGCACGAACGCACCTAGCAAGCCTGGAAGTTTTGTCGCTATCACCGCCTTCAGTGGCAGCAACGAAGCCTCCTGCCCTGGAGCCCGACGTGGTTCGAGCCAGGGACTTGGTTTAAGAGGCGTAGCGTTGGCATCTTTTATGCGAGCCTGCCAGGCGGCACACTACCCTAGGGGCAGGAGCAAACTCGGGCAGAACTCGGGCGTGGGAAGCGGGTGCGTCCAGTCTTGTCACCTCGGGCGTGTGGCTCGGTGGAGGTGTATGGATGGGCATGGGGATCGCAGAGGACGCAGGGTTTGGCTTGAGAGACAGTTTGAGAGCCGAAGCCTAGCAGGTCACCTTTCGGAAGGGGTGACTTGGAGTTAGTATCCAGCCATTCTGTTTTGGGAAAATCTTGAGAACCCGAGAAGAGTTTGGGCCAATAGGGTGCTCAGGATAGGAATGCTTGTTAAGGCGACCTCCCCTGATACCTATTAGCACCTGACGCAACCGACGCATACCTCTCGTGCCTGTGGTACGCTTAACCAGGAGCCTTCCGTGTTGGAATGGGCATCTCACTTCTTTACTGAACGCCTGCATGTGCCAGACACCAAACTAGGCTCTGAGTGGGAAGTACCGAGTGAGACAGTATAGAATGCCATTCTTGGGGGGACGATTCCTGCTGAACATCCGGCTAAGTACAGCGTAACTGACACACAGCAGAGAACTCCTGATGCCTACTTCCCTTGTGCCTTTGCCCACCGGCACACACCCACGTGGAGGTTTGGGGAAAGAACATTTCGGGGGAGTTCAAGATCCAGAGAAGGGACTGTGCACGACAGATTGGGGACCAATAAAGGGGGCCCGTGTGGCTGGACAATTGTAGGAAATGTGGCTTGGACAGGTCAGCTAGGTGTGCGTGCCAGCCCTGGTGATGCCCACCTGTCATCCAGAAGAAGAGTTGAGAGGGAGAGAGTCAAAGGAGAGAAGAGATGATGAAGAAGGGAGAGCTAGGACTCCAGCGTGAACGCTGGCCAGCCCTGGACACTTTCTCCATCTCGTCCTGTGGGACCGTGCCACACATTCCTTGGCCCCTGAGCGCACACACGTCAGCCATGGAGGTTGGACAGACCCATCTGCCCAACAGCGCATGAAATCAATCCACGATAGCTCCAGAGCTATTTCTTTTTCTTTTTCTTTTCTTTTTTTCTCCGAATGCATTCAGGGCAGGTTTGGCTGGCTTGAGTTGTGGGGATTGAACCACAGCAAGCTGAGCCTGACTGCTTTGTTGAAGCAGCCACTTAAAGAGCTGAGCTAAGGAGCAAGCCCCCATCCAAAGCTATTTCTTTCTTCTT